ACACGACACGACACACAGCAGGAGGGGCGGATGTGTTCAGTATTTGCCAGGAGGACTGCAGCAGATTATGCCCCAGTGCCCATCCCTGTGCTCTAAGAAGGGAAAGGGACGAGCTGAGGTTGTAGGTCAAAACGTTATGGTTATCACGCAGCCTAGTGTTTGCTGTATGGGCCATGGAGTCAAACTTTCTGGGTTCAAATCCTGACTTTACCTGTGAGTTTGGGTAACAATTTTACCTTTCTGTGTGTCAGCTTTCTTCCCTGTAAAATGGGGCTAATAACAGTGTCCACAGGGTTTTGAGGAGAGATTAAAGTGATAAAACACAGTGCCTGACACACAGTGAGTCCTCAGTGATTATAACTATTACTATTTTTAAGTATTTACACAATTACCGCTAAGGTAACAGGATGAAATTATATCATGCCCGTACAGTACCTGGTATAATGCCTGGTCTATGGTATCAGCATTTTGGTGATCACTCATAGTTTAATGGGGAAATCAAATCAGAGGGTAGAAGATAATGTTGAACATTAACGGCCTCTGATGCTTCAGGAAGGGAAAGTCGTTCTTTAAACTCTGGCGCGCTACGGTTCCGTGAGGAATCATCACCCGGAGAAGCCAGGCGAGCAGCACACGGGACTCTACTATTTCTGCAACTTCTTGTGACTCTAAAATTATTTCATAACAAGTAGAAAGATTGTACTTAGGTGAACGAGAGCACTGTCCCACTGGAACAGAGGTTGCTGTTACTGCGAACTTCCTAAGGAGCGGAGAGTAATGCCGGCGGCCGGCCAGCCCTCCGGGCGGTGCTCACCGGCAGGGAGCCCTGGCTCCAGGCGCAGGCGCCTCCCGCGGGCTGCGGGCCCCTCTGCAGGAGCAGAGCGGCCTGTTCCGAGTAGGCAGAGTCGGTGCGGAAGGCTTCCTCCATCGCAGCCCGTGCCTGCGGCCCCTCGGGCTCAGCGGCTGCGGGGAAACAGGACCGAGAGGCAGTCAGGGCCCGCGGCGTCCCCCCCCCC